AGAAATGGTGGAGTAGAGAAGGCCATGCAGGAGACTCAGCGCTTTGCCTCCAAACCCTTTCCAAGCTCCACTCCCCACATGGATCATTCCGCCATCTCTCCGCCCCCACCTCCGGCTAAATCAGCGCCCCCTCCGACACCCCCGATTATACCCTCCCATAATTCTCACCATGGTGGGTCGAGGGCCGCTCCACCACCTCCACCGCCACGAACCAACAACCACGCTCATCCTCCTCCTCCACCTCCACCCAGTTCTGCCCCGCCCCCACCTCCTCCCCATCCCAGAGGCCCGATGCTTCCTCCTCCAGGACAGATTGTTGCAGGTAGGATTGTATTACTTACTATTTCATATTGTTAACACTTGAGGAACATTATATCTATTAATATTTAAAGGATTTATGAGCTCATTGTCAGGAAGGTAATATGTCATGAAGCAGTATGATTAGATACTATTAATACCAGCGTTAAAGTACTGTAACCTTATCTGGTGTATAAGAGTTCTGGTATCACATTGAGTTTTATACATTCATAGTAATATTAGACTTAGAAATGGTCATCTTCTGTTGGTATTTGTGAATATTGAATAACTGTTGAGAAATCTTGACACATTAGTCATAACAGGAAACTTAAGGGAAACAGCCATTATTCATATTCCATTTTGTGATCCATAGAAAAATGCTGATGAATTATGAACCAATTTGCATTAAAGTAGCAAAAGCTGCTATATTATTAAAGGGGACCAAATTCATAAAATGCTTTTCTAATCCAATTCATCCATTCATCAGGACAAAAGACTGCACCATTGCCACCTATACCTGTTCCAATATCAAGTGTTCCTCCACCACCACCTCCAACCTCCACCATCCCGACTCTTCAACATGGAATTAAAGCTGCTGCTCCACCGCCTCCACCTCCTGCACCTCCATCTAATGGAGCACCTCCCCCTCCACCTCCTCCACCTCCTCCTGGTGGTGGTGGCGGTGGTGTTGGCGGCAGCGGTGGTGGCGGCGGAGGTGGCAGCGGCGGCGGAGGCATGCCTGCAGGTGGAGCCAATGTGGATGTCCGTTCAGCACTTCTGGATCAGATTCGTACTGGTCCTACATTAAAGGTATTTACTGGAACCTTCGTCCTGTGCGAGTCACCAGGTTTCTGTTATATTTCATTAATTGGGACTTTAATTATTAATGAAGAATTTCTTACCTTTTTTAAGCTTATGCATGAATGATAACCAAATATTTAAGCAAGGATTTTAACTACATATCACAATTTTACTTGCACTCACTTAAGCTCTGTTTTTCTCTGCAGCTCAGATATGTAAATATTTCATATTTCATTTAATATTTAGATTTTGTCTTGCACTTAATTGCATCAATTCCAGTATACTGTCTATTTACTTGCATAACATATCAGGGTTTTGTTATCATTTACAGTACAGTACAGTACAGTATCTATAGTACAGTACTGAACATTAAGATATCCATAATTTAAAAACTTTCTCAGTTCATAATTAAATAATTCATAAACAGCATATTGGTCTGGACTCCAATAATGACACAGTTTTGGGAAGAAAGTGCATTACTGTATCTGTCTTTTCCTATTTCACAGTTGCTGTCTAGAGCTTTAGGAATATCTAGTGATATTTGGTGATACTGTACTGTACTGTGCCTGTGTACTGTATATCTTTTCATGGCATTATTTACTCTTTATGGAAAACCAATTCAAAGGAAGAGTAATTAAAATGACTACTGTACTATACTTAATTTATATTTGGCCAATAATTAGGTTTGTATGATTGCTTTAATCTTATGTGAGCATTTCCAAACCATAAACCAGCAGTTAATGGAGTGCTGTTTCAAGCGAAGTTTTTGTGGTTATTAACATTTAATATGTTTTTGTAGACTGTACATAGAAGTTATAGGAAACAATTCCGCTTGAGGTGGAATTGTCACACTAAGCATTATGAGAAAACTTACTAAAACATAAGAATGAAAATTAATATAGTTTTTTATATATACTGCATAGATAATGTAATTGGTAGTAAATAGCACCATTAGTAGTTACATGAAGCTGCATAAGTTGGTTTACAGTTTGATAGAAGGCTGAACTGGTCATTTTGGGTGACTCTTTTCCACAATCTTGAGTCTCATTAGTGTAGTGTGAAAAACTTTGAGATTTTGATTTTATATGGAAATAAAGAAGGAAACTTGAATAGACGTGAAGTGAATGAGTCAGATGAGAAATATGAATACTCAGAGAACCTGTGCTGGGTAATGTAGTCATTAGTATACAGTTGTTTTAACCTATAAGTGTCTTTTTAACCCTTTGGATGCGACATGCGGGTAAACCCGCCCAAAATATTATATTAATTAAATGCGACAAGCGGGGATATCCCACGGCCTTGAAAAAACTTCCCCAAATGAGACGACATGCGGACATATTATGTATTGAGGTATAGGAGTATTTCCTGAATGCAATATAGCTTATTTTTGTACTATTTTGTTTGATATTATCTGAATATGTAATACATATCTAAATTTGCTGTTTAGTAACCAAATTGATTAAATTTATTTGCCATATACCAGACATTGATTTATACCAATTTCCTGCATTTTTGGGTATAAATGTCATTTTTTCTCTAAAATTTGCACACATATGTGAATTTTTGTTCCAGATTTGGAAAATATACTAAAAGTTCTCTAGGAAAAACATATAGAAAATGTGATTATATGAAATTCATTTTTGGCAGGATAATTGACACTTTTCAGGAACCGGCGCGAAATTTAATTACGCACCTAAAGAGTTAAGTGCCAGTTGTCTTCTAATAGCTCACCTTTAAAGTTGTCAGAAGACAATGAATTAGTATAATGGCCATCCTGCATTGGTACACCACATGTATTGTATGAACTTCTACCTACAGCTCTGGTTGATGAGTAACATTCTAGTGATTGTTGTTTAGTGAGAAGTACTTCAGTAATGGGCTATATGTAATGTTTTACTCCATTTACTGTACCCTGAATAGTAATAGGAAATGAGGATGCTCTAGTGTAGGTGAATTGTTGTACGTACTAAACATTAGCTGCGTGATTAATATTGGTTGGTTGTTCAGTTATTTTTATTAATCTAGTTTAATGACCTAATATCTGACTTACATGTGGGAATTCTTCTCATCATGTTGCCTGTTGATGAACATAATGGCAGCACAGAACCATAACTTAATATTTTTTTCTAATTTTATTGAAATTTGCTCCTAAATAAACAAGAGTGATGGAGAGCTGTTGACAAGCTGCATCATTGCTGGTTTATATATATATATAAAAAATCTCTCAGCCAGTTAATGAGTAAGTCAGTGAGGATTGGTATTCATAGAGCTGACTTGATGCAGCTGAAAAGGCAAAATGAGAAGGCTTCCCACACCCAGTAATAGCCAAGTAATTAACACTTTAAGACTGAGCTTGCTCTTTTCCCTCCTCAACAGGCCAATAGTCAGCATGGTCGCCAGGTATTATTCTCATCTCATGTTGGTTTTTACTGTAGCTTGGCTTTGAAAATGTTCTCGTGCCCAATTTTTTATTTTTAAGTAGCCTCCTGCCGTTGTGTGTGTGTGTGTGCGTGCATTTTATGAAGCTTTAAACTATAGTATTGTGTTTAGGCGTACAATTTTTTTTTTTCCCTGGAGAAGCTTACCGCCTTTGTGTGTACAGTATGTGTGCTGAGGTTTCTTTATGAAGTCTTGTTTCTGTTGTGTATATGTGTACCTAGGGATTCACCCACAACCTATTTTGCTGTATTGTGTTATCTGTTCACTGTTATCTGCACATATGCCTAATTTTTATAATAAAGCCTTCCACCATTGTGTACGTGTGCCCAAATGTTTTATAGTTATGTATCTGTCTGCTGGTGGGTGGGTGTGTGTGAGTATTTCAGGTTATTAGTATTATAATGATGTGGCTTGTGTCATTGTGTTCCAGTGGTTCAGTTGGCATACTGTACAGTCAGGTGATGGTGAAATGGTAAGCAGTCTTGTTGTACAGATATATTTCAATTGACTTAAAATTACTGTACTGTCGTTAAGATGTAATTCACTTATTTCAAATTGTTATATTTTATTTTGCCATGAAAAGTATATCTTTTTATGGAATGTGTAATGTCACTGGTAAGTAGACTAGAATGCTACAGGACTTTTAACCCCTTCACTACGGGGACTCCACTTTTGATATTTTACATGACTAACACTTGACAGTTTTGTTCAGCTCAGAGGGGAACCCGTACATAAGGGGCTTATAACAGTTTCATATATTCAGTGTAGCACTGTTGACTTTACTTGCTTGTTACAGCTTTTCATACGTTCATGCTTATGGTATATATAAATTGTCTGGGGAAAATTTACTTCCTTCTTGTTTTCTTATTCCTCCACTATTTTCAATAAGGGGAAACATAGAGTAGTGGAACTTTACTGTCCATCCAGTGGTCTCTGTGGAATGTAATTTTTTTTCCATCAACTTGTGAGAGATATGAAGTTTGGCTTACAGCTGTTTATAGTATTTTGAATATCTAGGTCATTTAATGATCAGAATTTTATATACAGTAATCTCCCCATTTTATCATTGTGAGAAATCCCAAAAGAAATTTCTCCTTTCTGTGCATTTGAGTGAATTTCCACGTGATTGCAGTGTGTACTGTCTTGTTTGTCAGCTCCATTCAAGCCTCATGCCCCCAGAATACCACCACTTGATGACCTGTATCATATAATTTTTTTTTTATTTAAACAAACTTTTTGATAAGCTATTCAGGATTATTTTTCTTAAAAAATAAGTGTTTCCTAGTTAATTAGAACTGATTTTATAGACTCCAATATCTTGTAGAGAATTTATTCAAGATCATTGTGGTACCAAATTCATCTTTCAAACACAATTAGAACAGATGCTTTGGATAAAAGTTTATACTGTACACTTTTTTGCTTACCATAAATATTTTTGCTTATGGTTTTTGCCTAATGTAACGAGAGAGTGTTATAGAGAATTGTACAACATGTAGAAGAGTGTTTCATATGATATACATTATTACTGCACTATAATATACCTGTTGATAAAAAAATAGCACATAGTAAATGTTAATAATAAATTACTGTAATGAACGATATTTACTGTATTAGTTATTCACTTATCAAGAGGCCATTGAGTCTTGAGGTGAGGAGGTGGTTCAGGCAGGAAGTAATTGTATGACATTTGGTGGCGTATATTTTCACTTCTAATTTCATTTACTGTATTTACTGAACTATACACTACACTACAGTACAGTATTTACATTTCTTACACTTCCCTTTAGTGCTCCTCAGCAACCCCCTCCACTGCCCCCTCAGAGGCAGCCGCTGAGTTACCCCCCTTTGTTGGCAGCCCCATCTTGTGTGAACTTTCCCCTGTAGTACTGGATTTTAGTCATGTTTATCCAGGTTGGGGGTACATGTGTTCGGTGCTGGACCCCAGTCTGGGTTAGAGGGAGTTTTATGTACGTGTACAGTAGTATTTGCATAAATACAGCTCTGTGCGTGTCTGACTGCAGTAAAGCCTCCGTAGCAATGGTGCTCCATGCCAGATGCATAGTTTAGACACGGAAACGTTCAACAGCTCCCAGAAAAATTCTGTAGATGTGCTAATTTTTCCAAGGATAAGAGAATTCCTATCAATAGCCAGAAATCTCTCAAAACTGGAATCACTTTGCACCAATTGTTCTGGTTAATGGGTAGATTACAGGTATCCCTCATTTAACAATGGAGTTGCATTCCTAAATAAACACTGTATACAGTTGGTACTTTACCTTATGTGAGGGCAGTTAGGACTCACCACAGGGGGTGAGGAGAGGTGCATTGAGTAAGAGCTTTACTCAGGACATTACCATGTTTCATATAATGGAATATCACTTTCAGATAGTGAGAGCTGTAAGAATAGAATTTTCATACTGTACAGTATAGTGAACATTAGTATAGTGAGTGATACCTTTACAGTGCAAACTACCTGTATTTGCCTTCTAGTGAATGATCATCATGCTTAATGGCACAATATGTTGGTTCTTGCCTTCAGTCTACAAACTCAAGAGTTATTGTAGTTAAATATGACATAACTTATATGAAAGTATAATATACAGGCTTTTTCAGCAGTTGCCTTAATATTATACACTGTAAACATAACAAGCCCCAATGTTTTTACGGTGTGGCTAAGTTTTTCACCTGTGTCTCATCTCTGTAACACATCAAGCAGAAAATGCCACTAGTACTGCTTCCACTTGCTGGCCTCTTTCGTGGTGTCTTGATAAAGGGTGATACTCTTAGACAGTCTTGAATATGATGCTGGCAAACCGAGAGTGTAACACAGATACAGTATAAACAAGACTTAAACCGTGCATACGCTGCATACCCTTACTTGCTGGTAAACAAAGCTGCTATGAAATCTACACAAACTTATTTTATTTTATTTTTAATTTTTTATATTTTTGTGATAGAACTTTTGAAAATTTCCATAAGGTTGAGTTTTTGTTTTGTATCTCTAATTCAGAGGACTTAATTTACATATTTTATCAGGGCAAATATCCATAACCTAATTATCTTTAATGCAGAGGCTGCCTTGGTAATTATACTATAAGTCATGTAACAGTAAACGTCTCCCGGTGGCGTAATCTGCTGACGTATCTACCATGTACAGATTTCTATAAAAAAAAATCCTGATTTAATCTACTGATACATCCTCTAGTGCTCAGACATATTCCTCCACCATAACAACTCCACTATTCCCATCACAGTTATAACATTTATTTAGATTTCCACACATTTATGCTCCTGTCAAATTGTAGCTCCCAAATCCGTTGATTAAGAACTACTTTATATGTATGCAAAAGCGATGTTTACTCTGGACTTTGCATGTTGTTTGCTGAAATAAGCATGTTTCATACCAAGGAGTGTTGACTGTAAAACCAGAGAGAACTTAGTGCTTATTGTATATCTTTGGAGTGCATGTACTGTATAGAGGTTAATGCTTGCTTTAAACCCATGTATAAAGGTTAATGCTTGCTTTAAACCCATGTATAAAGGTTAATGCTTGCTTTAAACCCAGGTATAAAGGTTAATGCTTGCTTTAAACCCATGTACAAAGGTTAATGCTTGCTTTAAACCCATGTATAAAGGTTAATGCTTGCTTTAAACCCATGTACAAAGGTTAATGCTTGCTTTAAACCCATTTAGAAGATAATGGTCACTGTAAAATGTCTTAGGTGCTAATGAGAGCTTGTTTTTAAGTGACACAGAAGGCTCTTAAATCATGTTGAGATTTTTGCTCTTTTTAGAACTATACAGTATACAAGTTTGTAATCAAGGAAGCCATGTATGAGTTAGTACTTATTAAAGCCACATATATAAGCTTCATCTGTTTGAATCTCTCTCTCTCACACACACACACACACACACACACATATATATATATATATATATATATATATATATATATATATATATATATATATATATATATATATATATATATATATATATATATATATATATATATATATATATATATATATATATATTATATTAGTGCACTTTAGAACCATGTATGTGATAGCACTCTTAAAAGCACCCCTGTATAACTTAGCACTGCTTAAAGCCATTTAGTAAACCACTCTTTTAGGTTATGTATAAAATAGCTCTTAAATATTCATGTACTACAGTATAGCACTCCTTAAAGCACCCATGTATGATCTGGTACTGTCTTAAGCTATGGATAAGTTAGCATTGACCATGTGAAAATGTACTGCATGACTGTTTCAACTAATGAGCTGAACCTTTAGGATGATTATTGAAATAATTGAAGTGTAATGTATTTATGTTACTCCACAGAAAGTAGAGCAATTGCAGCGGGCGCTACCCACAGACTCCCGCAGTTTGCTGTTGAACCAGATCAGATCAGGCATCAAGCTTAACCCTGTAAGTAGTGGTGTGGCGCTGTTTGTCCGTCTTTGGGTCTGTCATGTTAATAATTTAGGTTTCCACATAATAACTTTTGATTTGCATTACATAACATCACCAAACTTCACTCGAGAAATGGCTTTATATCCAGAGTTGTATTGATGTAAGGGTGAAAAATTGAAGAGTTAAGGCCACTCCAGGCATATTAAGTATCATTTGTGGGTAATATTATTCATCTACAACCTGGGCACCTGAAGAAAGAATTGCAGTATAAAGTAAGTCACAAGGGTAGAGGTAAGATAAATCTAATAGGGTAAAGGTTGGTCTGATACCAATGCTCCACCATTAAACACTGGTAGTCTTCATTTATCACAAATTCACACATCACAATTTTATCTTCCTGTATATCAACTTGTTTTTTATGACCAAAATTTAGTGTGAGTCATGGTGGATATATTTATTTTTCCACTTGGCAATGGATCATAATGTTTAGTTTACCCTTTTGATGCTGACTCCCACCCATAACAGACTATACCATACTAACACTGGATTATAATTACAGTAATGGTAGATATCAACTGAATCAGCATTGAAAAGGGTCAACAGAAGTTCACATCATCCAATTATGTTTTATCATAGTCAATCCTCTTTTTGCATACAACTTCTCTCACTCTACAAATTTGTCATCTTTAACCTCTGCTTGCTTTTATTCTGATAAACTCACTGTAAATGTAATTATGGTTTTTGGAATTTTTATATACAGGTACTCCCCGACTTACGACCGACTTGACTTACGTCCACCTGCACTTACGACCTGCCTCAGTCGTACCAAAATTTGGTCAAATTATGTATTTTTGAGTCCCAAAGTCAGTAAACAGACAAAATTTTCATCTGTAATTCACTTTAAAATGGCTGGCAAGCTTAAAAGTGAGTGTTTTGTGGTGCTGAGAAGAAAAAGAGACACCCATTTTAGATTTTCTATGTGTTATTTAAGCATTTACTACTTACGACCATTTCGACTTACGACCTGGATGTCGGTCCCTAACCCCATCGTAAGTCGGGAAGTACCTGTACTCTGTATATATTTTTATGTGTGTGTGAAGATATTTGTGCAGGAAAGTTGCTACAGTGTCTATATGATATTTTTAGGTGGAGGATGGAGATGGTGGAGGTGCTGTGAAGTCCTCTGAGCCCAAACTAGAGGGCTTGGCATTGGACCTCCATCGTGCGCTGACCAGTCGTGCTCTAGTCATACAGTCTGACGATGACAGCTCTGATGTTGAGGACGAGGAGGAGGATGAGTGGGATGATGACGACACTTGAAATAAGGCCAAGATCTATAAGAGAAGATAACAAAGGTGTACAAAACAAAATTATAGATAAACTGGAATTAAAAAATGTTACTGTTGATAATTATGGAAGTTTATTGCAAATTTAATTTTCTAAAACCAAAATAATAGTTGAAATGCTGTTTGGTACTGCCATTTAATTTTACCACTCACTAATATTTATTGGTATTAATGGAAGATTACATGTGTTCTCTAGAGACTAAAACATTTCCTGGATTTCAGAAGGAATTGCAGGGCCTTGTTGATAAACACACACAATAAATATTTAAAGCAATTGATTTTTCAAGACAATTTTCAGTGAGGAGTTGAGAACCTTCTGTGTGTGTATGCATGTGTGTGTGTGTGTGTGTGCGTGTGCTTCCACATCTCCAGACACCAAAATTTGAGTTGGAGAGAAAATAGGTCTTGTTCAATATGGAGTGTACAGAGCTGGTCCCTCAAAAGATGCCACCTTTGATGTAGGGAAATGACATGGGCATCATAAAGCATATATATATATATATACAGTATATATATACAGTATATATATACAGTATATATACAGTATATATATATATATATATTAAAATATAAAACTAATTAAATTATGGTAAAAACTTCTTAATTATTTTGATGGGTTAGTTTGTGATGAGAAGAAGTAGAATTCTAGGTAGGGAACTGTTGAGAATAATTGGCATAAAGTCATCTATTTATCTCAGTTACTAGACATTAGTCCAAGGAAAACACAGATCCTTAAGTGCAGTGTTCCTTATGTAAAGACTTAGTGTTGGTCTCCATCATATGCTGAAGATTCACAAGAGGCCACTGTTAAATTGTCAAACTAATGAATGTGGTGGTAAAACTATTGACTACAGAAATTACAATAATTTCTTGGCTATTATTTATTTCAAAGGAATATTCTTTGGCTGTACAGTATACAAGTGTCAAATAAATAGAGGAATATAATGTAATTTTCACATTTGTATCTAAAGGATATTTTGAATATGCAATAATATTATATCCTTAGTGCATAGTGAGTGAATATTATATAGATTGAAATTCTTCAGAATTTCATAAATGTATCTTGAGTTTTCCCCCTATGTACATGAAGAGTTTTGGATGGCAAATATTTTATTACTAATAGATAGAGTTAATAGATAGAATTCTCCATACTTCATCATGCCTTATGTACTGGATTAATAAAGGTGGACCTGATATAGAGGGATTGATAGGAGTTTAAAGATTGATACAGGTACAGTGATATCAGATCTGGTTGATGACCATAATATGCAACACATCTCAGCTGTTTAGATTTTTTACTAGAACTTGTATTTAGACTTTATCAATTTAGAGTTTGATTAGAGTCATCTAGTCAGTGTGATATGTATTTTTTAACATTCTGATGTGCATAATGAAAGTACTGTACTTGTCTTAATTTAGGCCAAAAGACCAAACAAGCTTTGATCAGTCATGATGGGTAATATTTAGGTCAACAGGTAGTTTATCATATATTGTATGTACAGACTCGTCCTTAACATGTACAGTAGTCAGAGGTTGTACTGACTTGCATCACCAAAAATCTTCTTAAGTTTTATGGTTGAAGAATTTAAAGCCTGTCGTCTTGTTTCATTTTCTAGTGAAGTACATCACCAAGACCCCTGTTCTTCCATGAGCTTTAGAAACTAGTCTGTAACCAATGTTCCGGTGAAGAATGTTTGATATCCTCTGTAATATAGTGTTTACACCTGTAAATCTTGTGCTCTCTGAAAAGATGGACAGTTATAGTTTAAAGTACATACAGTACTCTACATGCTTGCATGCATGGACTTACATGTACACACCCAGCATATTAATATGAGCACACATTGCAGTTAACTTTCAGTCATGGACTTCACATATGTATTGGTGTGTAAATATACATTCATGAATTCATTTTGAACACATGTAAACAATATTCACTGAGTCATTTGCTTACATATATTTTCATAGACACACCTGTGCACACAACACTTTCTTGTTGAATGTGTATGATGGTACATGCATACATTTTGTGTGAATGAATGTGTATGTGTGCTTGCCTCCTTCTCAGTCTGTGTATGTTTGATTGTATATATGATTGTGTGTATGTGTGTTAGTCATTTCATTCACCTTGTGTGTGTGCATGTGTACATGTGTGTGTGTAATATTTCCCTCAGTCAACAAACTAGAGATGTGGTTGTCTTGTAATATGATATATCTTCAGGGTATTTTAATATGGAACTGTTGTATAGTTAATATTATAGTTTAAAGTTTTATTATAGGGTATTACTTGTGTACTTAAAACAGTAGGTTAGGAGTGAAATAAGGGATGGGTGTGTAAACTTTTCCTCGCCTTTGTTCCATATACATTACTGGATTTGAATCTTTGAAGGAATTTATCTTAATTTTTCTGCTATATATTTGTCAGATCAGCATATCACGCCTTTGTCTTAACAGCGTGGTTACTGAGAGAAACCCGGGGGTAGTATTATATGATTTTCACCATGCTAGTACAGGAACAGACTTGTTTTGACTGCTGATACGATTTTTAATAACTCGCCTCCGTGGAAATACAGTTTAGATTTCATGCTTATTATTTTGTTGATAATGAGTGCCTATTTTTTTAATACTTATGTTATATTTCTTGTTTGGTATTTTTCTAGTTGGTACTGTGTCTGTTACTTGGAGTTTGTGTTCAGTATTTACCGATTAATTTTAAACTTGCTTCTTTTTCTCATGCTGTCGTCTATCTTCATCAGTTGGTGGGTCAAGTCCCCAGGTGGTGTTTGTGTCATCCACTTCACCACATTGTACTGTAGTTGGTCATTCTTGTATGATAATAATTATACACTGTCTGGCATATAACTGCTGAAGCCCATAGATGGCATTCCCATGTTCTGCATTTCAATCAGTCAGTCACTATTACAGTTCCTGCATTGTCTTGCATATAACAAACCAAGAATCTCTCCACAGAAAGTTGTAAATATTAAAGTCTATAAATTGTATTGTTGTATGATACATGTAAATGACTGTAAATTTGGAGTCATATATTGTGTTACACTAATGTTCACTGTCTCTATGTTAACTTTTTATTTCCATGCCTTAATTTTAGTTGCCAAAAGTTTTTAAATATTAGGAAACTGTTATCTACATGCATATACAGGCCAAATTTGATTTTACAGAGTCTAACTTGGATGACCCCTTACAAATTTTTATTTATTTTTTTCATAGTTGGTCTAGGGTGTATAATACTCCAGTAGGTGGGGCATTGTATTAAAGCATGGTTTTAGTCACTGGAGAATCTGTTATAATTAGGTTTCCATTTACATGATGGGCATACCAATACACAGAACCTTCAAGCATATGTTTCAAGAATGTGAGAGTGTGGTACTTAAAGTAACAAAGATGTTCAATCACTGAAATGTGTGGGTGGGGAAGATCCTGTATCTAATTGAAATAAGTACGTTAAGATACTGATGTAATACTGATATTCACATGATAATTTAAGCATACACCAGTGCTATATGTTTTGGTCATAACCTAACCTCAAATTATAAGGTACTGTAGTGCAGCTTTTTGTAAGTTATGAATCCTCGTGGGAGTGACATCTTAAGACACTATTGGAATTCTGTTCTGTTTACCCTACTTTGGAAGGAAGGTATAATGTGTTCTAAAGGCGAGAGTAAAATGTAATATTTTTCTCATACCACATCCCAAATATGTGCCATATCCCTTGCATACAACAGGGTCTTGAAAGTGGAATGTTACAGAATCTTCTCCAAACACATGTCACTTAAATAGTATATGTCATGGATAGGCCCTCATGTATGTTAAGTATTTCCACTAAAGGTACAAGAACACATTTTAAAAATATTCTACTACTTTCTTCTTTTGTATAATTCATGGTATTATGTACAGAGGGATTTTCTTTTGTATACTGTACCTTACTTTAACCAATTTTTTTTGTCAGATTAACTATGACAAATTGGCTTGTTTAATTATAATTGTGTGGAGGGTTTAAGAGTGACATGTGTGTTTGTGTGATAAAGAGGTGGGAAGTAAAGAATATTAATCGATTGGTTTTATAACTTTGCCGTGCACTTATGACTTATATACTGTCTTGTTTTCCTGCCAGGTATCACTTACGAGTTGTATTTATGTACGTATTCCTTATTTTGATTAACACGTTTATCAACTGGGTAATGTAATTGTTCCGATATATTACTCATTATTTCTGTCGATGTGATGAAAGATGATTTGCGATCTGATGGTATTTATAATTTGTTGTTTATTGTAATCTTATTGAATGTTTTGTTGTAGATATGTTAATAACCTGTAAAAAAAAATTGAGATCTGTTATTTTCATCTGTTAAGAAATTGAGATCTGATACTACTATTGATCTGGAAAAGAAAATATGATCTGAATATATTTTTGATATGAGGCTGCTAATGCTAATAATGTTTGTAACCTGATGTAAATATTGAATGACAACTTAAAAAGAGTCACTTACTATACCGATAATACCCTGCATCATTTTAAAGAATCATTTTACTTGCAAAAATTGCATTGGCAATGTAGTTCACCATTATTTATGTTACTTAGGAAGGCAGAGATAACTTATGTTACTTGGGAAGGCAAAGATCACTATGTTACTTGGGAAGGCAAAGACCACTTATGTTACTTGAGAAGGCAAAGCTCACTTATGTTACTTGAGAAGGCAAAGCTCACTTATGTTACTTGGGAAGACAGAGATCTGTTTTGTCATCAGATAATGTAAAATAAACATGTGTAATGTGTTTCATATTTCAGTTTCATTTATGGAAAAAAAAATATGCTGAATCTGCACTGGATATGGCAGGGGCTTCCTATCTTATATGTGTGTGTTATCGTCAACTGTTAAACTACAAGATTTATAAATGAATATGTACAGTATGGTTGGATGAATTGGTGTTGTGACTGTGGTCTATACTGTACATAAGATTTGTTGAGAACTTGTAGTTGTGTGTATATAGTGCATTGTACAGTATAAGTAAATATATTGTTGACTTGAAGTTCTCCATACAGTAGTACATTATCACACTAGTTTCTTGAACCTTCATCAGATGTTCCCGGTAGTTTGTTGAAATTTTACAGAATTAAGGGGAAGTAATTTATTGTATTGGTAATTGGTGAATTCTGGATAATGAATTAAAATTAAAGATAAATTTTGTTTAGGAAGTCATTTTGATAATGTAGATTACAAAATCTTTTAAGACTTGCATATCAGTCCAGTATAGTAAATGTATGATTTCAATTAATGCTCGGTCACAGAAGTTTTTAATGATTTCAGCTAAGGCTGGGTTAGGGTATGTCATAAACAGTAGAATGAAATCAATTGAGGCTCTGTCCTAGAAAACATTGGATTTTAACTTTAGCTTTAGCTTTGTCTTGAAAGATTTGGAGACCACGAACATTTGAGAATTGATCAAACACCTGAAAACACTGGAGTGCATCTGATTATCTTGAAGAGTCAATTTTCTTCCTTTTAAATTGTATAACTTAACAAGTCATTTCTTGTAATATGATTTTGTTTTTCTTAATTTCATCTTTGCTCTCTCATGGTTAAGTGTATAATCTTTGCTGATGTACAATCATATCCTGTTCAAATTAATGCTGTTATATTCTTTAGTAATTATGAGTGTAATAAACTGTTTATTGGATTATTGTGGTATTTATACAAATACTGTATAGTATACCCTTCACCAGCTACAGACCTTTGCACTCTCTGACTGGTTTCATTATTCTATTTGTGCTTCGCTATTGGTGATGTCATATCATCACCACCACCATTTTATGAATATTTTCTGCACATTTGTGGGTCAGCCTGATGGCATGGTGTCCTGGTTGCCATCAGGTAAATTTAAAGTAAGTTTCATACCTGGATGACCTTCCCATCACCAATCCACTTTTACAGATTAGGAAGGGGTCATTATATATAGGAATTCCAAAAGCCCTGTTTGCTGGTGAGAGAGAGTCACTAATTCCCTTTGGTAATCAAATATAACCAACCTACCTATTTCTGTGTGGCTTAAATAGTGAATTTGGGAGCCATTCAGTGCTGGTGCTGTGATGAATCGGTGCAGTCTGTGGTTGGTTGTCATTCCCTCTTCAGTGAGGTGTGGGTAGACATATACTGTACTGTACTGTGTATCTTCAACCTGACAGAAGAGAGGAGGAGGGGGGGACATATCTCTGGTGTGTAGTCACTTTCTACTGACACCTTTACTCATAGTCTTGGTGGGAAAATTAGGGCCATTACTAGAGATGAACTATTTAGGCATGTTAAGAACCTAGTTTATTGGCAAGACTCACAAAAATGTCTAGATTGTTCTCATGTCTTGTGTCTGTTTGAGAGATGTCTTCTGTGTGTAGGTTTTAATGGTTTATTGTGGTTTTAGTGACTGAAATAGGTTTAAAAGGTTTACTGTGATTAAATGAGTTTCAACTATAATTCAGTAAGGTTTAACAATTAGACTGGATTCAAGCTTAATTATCGAGTTTCGGCCATTAACAAGTCAGGTTCAACCATAATTCAGTGAGGTTCAGCTATTAATCAGTGAGGTTCAACCATAATTCAGTGAGGTTCAGTTATTAATCAGTGAGGTTTAACCATAATTCAGTGAGGTTCAGCTATTAATCAGTGAGGTTCAGCTATTAATCAGTGAGGTTCAACCATAATTCAGTGAGGTTCAACCATAATTCAGTGAGGTTCAGCTATTAATCAGTGAGGTTTAACCATAATTCAGTGAGGTTCAGCTATTAATCAGTGAGGTTCAACCATAATTCAGTGAGGTTCAGCTATTAATCAGTGAGGTTCATAATTCAGTGAGGTTCAGCTATTAATCAGTGAGGTTCATAATTCAGTGAGGTTCAACCATAATTCAGTGAGGTTCAACCATAATTCAGTGAGGTTCAGTGAGGTTCAACCATATTCAGTGAGGTTCAACCATAATTCAGTGAGGTTCAGCTATAATTCAGTGAGGTTCAACCATAATTCAGTGAGGTTCAACCATAATTCAGTGAGGTTCAGCTATCAATCAGTGAGGTTCAAACATAATTCAGTGAGGTTCAGCTATTAATCAATGAGGTTCAACCATAATTCAGTGAGGTTCAGCTATTAATCAATGAGGTTTTTAGTAAAGTTTAAACGATTCATTGACCTTGAAGTGGTTCAATGGCTCAATGATTTGATAACATTAAATTTTTATATCTAATTAGGTTCATATAATTGCTGTTTAACTTTGTTTTAGTGACGATTAATTGGGCGAGTCATTGAGATTTATAAATGATTTAATGAGACTTGATTTTATGTAAATCAGTGATGCGTCCTGATTCCAAGGCGTTATATAAGGTTCATTTAGCATACAGTGACGTCAGGTGGCGTTCATATAGAAGAGGGAGTGTGTGTGTTAAAGTTTTCATGTTGACAAGTTGTATCTGTGAAGAGTCGTGCACATCATCTTTGTATAATTATAAGCCTATGCGTTCTCTTACTGCCTTTAAGGAAATCTGTATGTCGTCCGCAGATTTAAGGACGAATTTCGAGTTAATCTGATCAATGTTGAAGTAGGTCAAGAAAGAGGTAGGTAGTCCTCAAGAGTATTACCCTCGTGTTACTCCTCTCTGAACTATTTGCTAGTTTTCATATTGTTGTCAAGCGCCTAGACTTTTATGGCTGCCTCTAATCGTAAAGTTATTTCCCCTGGGCAGATTTAGGATTCAGGTTGATACGGCCGGAATTGTTTAAATTACAGAGGAGTGAAGAGCCGGGTCAGTCCGGGGTTTGGGACCACCTACGAGCAGATAAGCTACTGAGTGTCGAAGAGCCCAGCCAGGGGTGAAGAATGAATTAATATAGTAAAACTTCCGGTCCGGAAAAACTGAACTCTGGCGAGAATAGGTAAAAGAAAAAGGAGCCGCCCATCTAAAGCTTGCCACTGTCTAAGATGATATACTGTTGTCGGTTTGAAGAAAACAACTCTGGAAACTGAGTTCTGATAATTCATACAAATGGTTGAAGAGAATTTGATAACCCCTAAAAAATTTCCCACAACATAGTTATCTGATAAGATATTGTACTTCGAGAGGTACGCCGGATCAGTGATATCTTTTATTTGCTTCAGGTACACATACTGTATTTGCTGGTGCTTATCCTATGGGGAGTTGGCACAATATTTTTTTCAGCTTTCTATTTTCAAAGACATATTATGATGCGCTAAATCAAAGTTTACGCAGGAGATAAGATGGACATCACACACGATGGATGAAAACATTTCTGCTAAGCAGCTGAAAAATGTAAGCTTCAAAAACAGAATTAACTAACATTGTTTATCCTTTTCGCCTGTAGCCAGCTCATAAGCCATTCGGGCTACCAGATATATTTGCCTAAGGGCAAACATATAAACGAGACTTATGCTTGTGATAACACAGTCCTGAGAGGTTGGCAGCCCTGCTCAGCCTCTCGAGGCTACGTCAGCCGCCAGGAAGTCCTCGGTCAGACACCGTCGGGGGCGTTACAGATGCAGTATTCTGGAGGCATTTTCTGCCCAACTGCGTCCAGTTTCGCATCCCACAGCCCCGTGAAGTCCACAGCTAGCAAGAAGGACGGAGACACTTCACTAAATACCAAACTTCCTTCTCCGCTCGACGGTTTAAAGGTAGGTAGTGTTCACAGCTAACGAACTGTAGATGAAGTGCCATTAGAAGTAAGAAAAATACACCCTAAATTCTAAATAATAAATACGCATACTCTGAGTATCCTTAAAGGGTAGCATTATTCTACGTAGATGATTGGAAAATATCTAAAATCCCCACGAAGAGCTGGTCGCCGGGTTATCAAACACGGACGGAGCAAAAACTACCAGTTAACGACGTGTTTAACCAAGTGTTTGCTCATGGAAAACCAGAGTAAAAATATGGGTAAATTATGTCTATTAGTTTTATATGAGCAGAGGCATTAGAGTGAGAGTTAAGGGGTGTTGGAGTTACGATAAAGTGATGATAAGAGACGACCTCCAACACACTAGTAATGTTGTCGTGACTATCAGCTGATGGTAGTCCCGGGAGGAGGCTGTAGTGAGTGTTGTTTCCTGTACTTCATTCTACTTGGTGTTTCCTTTGTTTTAATAAGACAAGTGTTGAATTCTTACACAGCGTTAACGTGACCAGTAATGACTGCTCACAAGACCACTACTGTACTGGTGTTTACTTTGCGCAGTGCTAGACTTTTACTTCATTCGCTTCAGTTAATGCATGGTGTTTTCAAGACCAATATTGAGTGTATACGAGTATAACGTTCACGAGACCAGTACTTCGTTATTACAGATTCACAAAGAACATAAGAACTAATAATAACACTTACGGTGATGCTTATTGACGTACTGTACAGGACAATAAATTAATTTTATTGGAATTAGTTAATTTTACTGCCACACCACCGCGTTAAGTACTGTACTGCGGTTTCCCTCAGGACTCATTAAGTTTAAAACTCGGGTTGAAACACGACGACCCTCTTCAAGGGAAGATGTTTCCTAATACGGGCCACTATGCCCTCGCTAGTTATTCCTTGCTGTGTCGCTCCTCTGCCGTGTAAAAAAATAGCATAATGCGAGAGAGAGAGAGAGAGAGAGAGAGAGAGAGAGAGAGAGAGAGAGAGAGAGAGAGATTCAGCCATGCCGTTAAGGTCAGAGAGATATCTTAAAGGACATTGCTTCATACAAAACGATTATATGTATCCTCAAAGTGCATGAGTATAGTGTGTACAGCCTTCCTTCCCCTCCCCTCCCCCGGGTTAGTGATAATGCATAGTATTAAAATTATGATAAGATTTACCGAAGGATAATAATATAAACAGCTGGATGGAAGAATTGGGTTATTTGTCTCAGCGTTTATTTATTTCTATTTTTATCTTATTTTATTTTTTATTTTAAGATAGCCTTCTCGATATTTATTATTTTATATTTAATATTCTCAATATATGTATGGTGTGTGTGTGTGTGTGTGAGAGAGAGAGAGAGAGAGAGAGAGAGAGAGAGAGAGAGAGAGAGAGAATTACATTTAGAAAAAATACTAAATTAGATACATTAACTTCAACAGGATTCACAGGGCGAGGCTCTTGGTATATCCCTTCAGTTGACTCAACATTGTTGTGTAATAAGCTAAATTTAACCTCAGATAAAGAAAATGCGATATGAACGTTTCTTCATTTGGAAATAATAATGACGTATTGAATCTAGCGAGGAAATTCGAACGGATAGGGACGTGGTGAGGTGATAGGAGTGATGGTTCTTGGACGGTGTGAACGGAAAAGTAATGTTGATGGAATAACCGATGTAAATAGGGCGAGGGATACGAGCTCAAGGATTTTAGTAGACACGTTAGGTGACAGGTATTGCCATAGATTGATAAGGTATTACAATAGATTAATTAACAGTAGAGGCGAGAGTGGAAAAGATACGGCCATAATTAGTAAAAAAAAAGCAGCTTATATAATATTGAAAGGGATTCGTGTGCAAATATTTTTCAGTGACGATAACGTTGATTTTTGACCGCAATAACAAGTCGCTGTGAATGGCAGATCGTAGTGATAAATAACTAAACTAACAAACATTTAAAAATATAGCTTATCGGATGCAAGTACGCGTGGTTTATGTAAAGTTATA